ATAAAATAAAACTACTAACTGTTGCAGCAATAAGAGGCGAACCAGTATTTGAACGAACATAAAAAGATATATTACGTCTAGGTTTTAAGAGTAAGTCATGAAAGATTAATTTATAGTTAAAAGGTTAAGCGTGCGGAATTAAATTGCGATGTCCACGTAATGAGAGACGGAAATCTGGCTTCTGAGAGTGGTGACACGGGGATGATAGGAAGGATTGGCCGTGCTGGATCGAAATTATTGTGTATGGACGATGGGTGGGAAAGCCCACGATTGAGCTACATTGGACCTGTGGGGAAAAAAGGAGGTGTGTTAAGGAAGAGAAACATACGTATGAATAAACAGGAGTAGAATAAGGGTTTTGTGGCTGGGAGCGTGCCCAGAAATACATGGATTGTATTTGTGGGCACCCTCTGTGCGCCTGAGAAGGTCGGTATTGGAATGGGAGGAGCAGAGGCAGCCGAAGAAGACGGAACAAGGAAGTTAGAAATGAGAGAAGGGAAAAGATGCTGGGATGTAGGGATGCCTGTGCTCAGGTTGTTTGTGAAGGCGAAATGGTAGATACTGGGTTTGATACTACCTGGCCCTCTGAGAGGGCTGATGAGGAAGGCTGGGCCGTGGGATGCGCCGTGACGTCATCGGCGTTGCCAAGGACACGACGCCGTGAACCCGGAAGCGGCGGCGAAGCTTGGAGCGGAAGTATGGCGTTTTCCTGGAAGTGCGTGGAAAGTTTCGTTTTGTTATCGGTGCGTTGGAAGGGTGTGTTTCGCTGAGAGAGAGCGATCCTCGGGCAAGTCACCGTAGTTTACGGCCGAGGGACGGCCAGAGAAACGGCGAGGGGAAGTCGGGTCGCGGTAGCTTCGCCCGAGGCTGCTGGCAGGAGGGAGGTCGGTCGGACGCCGGAGAACTTCCCTGGACCTGTTGGGCGGCGAAGGCCCAATGGTGTTGGAGCTGTCGGTGGATGAAGGCTGGGAGTGTCGGAGCACGTGGATTATTGAGCTGAGCCGCGGTGGCTGACGAGAAGGAATGGTAGGCGAGGAAGAGGACTCGGACATTTCGTGAGTTTGTCATCCGTCTTCAAACATGTTGCTGTCTGAAGAGTTGAGCGTGAGCTTGTACCCGTGGTTCGTCTGACGCCGATCATGTGGGAAATGAGTCAAGGAGGAAGTGAACGGATAAGGTATGCTTAAGTAAGTTTTGAGCGGAAATTAGATGATTGCAGGGCGTGGTCTTTGTTCCCGAACCTAGTTATGAAACATAATTTAATAAAATGGGCATATAAAAGGATTTGTGGGATACTAAGTAATGGTAGATGTAGCGTCTACATGATGAAAAAAGTAGAAAATAAAAGGCAATCACCAAACAGATCCTGTTATCTACTTCATCTTCGTTACACTGTGAGGAAGAGGGAAAGTGGGAAGGGGTACATAAAACACATGCAATACAAACAAACAAGAGAAAAAAACACCAATAGGCAAGCAAAAAACAAAAACTGACCCTAAGATGGGACCTGCACCCATCTCCTATCCATGAAAGTCAGACGTGGGCCTCTTATGGTGAACTAGAGCACCCAGACCAATTGAGTTTTCTACATAATTAATTTGAAAAACAATTTTGTAGGGGTTACACTACTTAATAATAAAGGTAATTAATCACTGATGATTAATAATACACTCGTAAATGGGGCACCACCTCCGTTGTTTAGCTACTGGAATAATCCGGAGGATTCATTTTTGAGAAGATGAAAATTTTACAATAGTACCAAATTAGAACTAAATCTATATCAGTGCAAATGCTGTTTCTGCTATCTATTGAATGTTCACTAGCAAATGGACCTCTCATAAATCACCTTAAAGGAAAGGGCAAAAGGAGTAACAGGAGACCAGATGTGGATTTCAGAGGAGTTTCTCTCTGGAGGTGGACCTGTCAGACTAAAAGAGATGTAAACACATTTCAGGGATATCTAATCCTGATTTACAATCAAAGGCACTTAATTATCAACCCATCTTTTGTAGAACAACAAGCGTTTCCCAAAACCTGAGTGTAGAGTGTCGTTCTGATCTGTGGAGGAGTCAGTGTTCTGTTAAAGAGAATAAAACAAATTGACACCTAGAGATCCCATCGGAGAATCTGAAAAGAACCAGGCTCTCTGTGCAGGAGACTGTCGGCGCCACAGTCTCACCTCCCCTCCTGGGTCAAAAAGTTCAAAGGGAAAGAGGAGGCCTTGAAAACTCTCCTGGTGGAACAGAATCCAAATAATATGATGGCTGTTGAATTAAGAGACGGATAAAGCGTCTCTTGTAATGATGAGACGACGACAAGGTCCTACAAATTGAACATATAACAACAACTGTGCAGTCCTTTACACTTTTATTTTTAACATAAAGTTTCTCTCCAATCGTTGGGCTGACGACCTAAAAGAAAAAAAAAAAAAAAAAAAGCACAGTTTATCCAATGTTTTACTCACATACTGTCCAGACCAACTCAGAAGACATTCGGCAGTCAAACTCTAAGATCCCTCTCTGCCTCAGCTGCGGATTCATAGATCAATCGTTGCCTGTCAATGGTGATGATTAGTCTCACCGGGTGTAGTATTCCGAACCGGTATCCTTTGCTTTTAATCTTCTCGATAATGCTGGAGTATGTTGCTCGTTGCTGTTGCACCCTGGCGGAGAGATCCTGACGGACAAAAAAACGGGTGCCTTCCCAGGAGAGAGAGGGCTTCTTCCCCGTGGCCGGGACGGTTGGACCACTGGATGAAGATGGCTCTCGGCGGCTGGTTGAGGTCTGGACGTACCTTTGTGCTAGGTCCGACTTGATCGCCAGTGTTTCGCGGAGTAGTAGTTTCGCCCAGGCAGGTGTCATCTTCAGCGTCCAACAGGTGCGCCATCTCCTCAGCCATGGTGGCAAACGCCTTCTCTCGCTTACTCTGTTGTTTAATCGTTCCTCTAGTAACTCTGTTAGACATTCGCCCACTATTATCTGTATTGCTTAGTTGGTCCTGGACTTCCAATTGAATTATCAATTGTCTTTAAATACACATTGTTTGGTCTGGTGTCTCGTAGATCAACTTAGCAGGCGCCATGTTTATCATGCCAGTCACCTCCTCCTTTAACTTCTTGACGAATACAATTAAATTTTATTTCTGTAGCACCAAATAATAACAGAACTTATCTCTAAATAATTTTATGAAGGTCTAGACCTACTCAATTTGAAAAGTTTCCAGAGACCCAACAATTCCCACCATGAGCAAGCACTTGGCGACAGCTGCAAGGAAAAACTTCCTGTTAACATGCAGAAACTTCGAGTAGACCCCGGGTCTAGATGGGCAGCCAATTGAGGGGAGAGACCGAGAGCCAAAGATACACCGAAATAATAGCAACAGTAACAACTATAATACTGACGATGGTGACATTAGCAGCAGGCATCAAGTAGGACCACAGAACCAGGCGCAACTATGTTCCTGAAGTAGGCATCTCTATGGGAACCTGCGAGACGAGAAAGCACAAAAACTCCAGGCAAGAAATTAGTAACATGCATTAATGGGACATGAATATGAACAGACAGGGAGAGGAAGACAGAGGAGCTCAGCGCATCACGGAGAGTCCCCCGGCAGTCTAGGCCTATAGCTGCGTAACTATTCCACAGGGCACATTTACAACACCTTCCAGCTCTGCCATGGCCACCGGAGCGGATCGCAGCCATTCTAGGAAATGCGAGAGACGCATCTCTGTGCGTAGCATACAAGGCTAGCCGACCCACTCGCTTCAAGCAGCATAGAGCAGATCATACTGGCAGGAAGTCAGACGCAGAAACAGCATAGATAATCTGGTCACTTTTCAAAATAAAATTCAGCACGTTCATGCTAGATCAATATAGTGGCATCAGGTCAAAAATCAATCAGTTGGAGGCAACACGCTCTGAAGACGCTCGGAGCCAAACCGTGAAGCAATGTCCTAATGCCGTGCATGATGAAATTTGGATGGTTCAGGGCATCTTAGGTCTACTCTTAAATGTTGTAGGTGCTATGGTTAAACCCTTGTTACACCAATGAATGCTGCCGCTGTGTTCAAGGACCACCAAGCTGTGTTGGTGCAACCGGTTGAGTTTTGGCTATCCAAATTCAGAATGATCAAATATAATAAATAGGGTTATTATAAAAGTTATTCAAACTCTTTAAATAATTTAAGTGGTTGGGGAACGGACAATCTCTATGGGGTTTTAGGGTAAGTGCTCTAATGGAAGTGCAAGAAGTGTGTAGGACTGCAGCTCTGCCACCTGGTCTCAGCTCTAGGTCAGGGTTTCGGTTCAGAAATAAACTTTAGATTTCTAGATAAGAGAGCCGTTCTGTCCAAAGTGGGATAATGCCATCTCTCCTAATCAGACCAGGTTTTCCCCAGAAAGTCTGCCAATTGTCAATTATTGTTCGGTGGACACCACCTCTATAGCCATGTCATCACTGGTCAGATTGGGCAGGGGTCCAGAGAAAACTACGGAGTGGCATAATTACAGTAAAACATTTATCCTTAGCTAGCAGTTTAAAAATAAGATTCAACGTCGCCCGCTTTGGCCCCAGGGATGCATTTAACTGTGGTCACTGGTGTTGCCAACTTCACGTTTCTGAGAGATATTCATATCTCATATTCAGATTCAGATATTTGATCAAATGTTTTTCTTTTAAGTAAACCTTTGATGCCAAAACTCATTTCAATTATTCATATTTTTTTATAATTTATTAATTTATCATTGCCAGGCTCAAATAAGTTCCTGGCCCGGCCTAAGTGTTAAGTATTAATGCCGGGGACCACCTCCAGGTTTGAGCCAGTGCCTTGGTCAAGGGAAAATTAACCTAGCATACAGGTTTTAATGGTGGGGGAAACCGGAGCACCCGGAGGAAACCCATAGGGAGAACATGCGGACTCCACACATTTGAACCCAGGACCTTCTTGATCTGAGGTCCACAGGTGGTGATGGAAGGTGGCTGGAATCTGGGTTGCGCTGCATTATTGGAACCAGGGGTGCTGCTGCATCTCCTCAAGTGTGGCGCGTTCTTTTGGATTTTCAACCAAACACTTCTCCAGCAGATCCTGGCATTCTAAGAAGAGAGAGCAAAAGAAAAATGAGGAAGTTGGAAGGAAAAGCTTTGCACACCATTAGTACCAAAACTCAGGTACTGTATTGACACCAGCATTGTCTTACCTTTGGACACTTCCAGCAGCTCACTGATAAAGGCAGTCTTGGTGTGGAGGAACTCAGCGGTGGTAAATTGCTTGTATCCATCCAGCACCTCATACAGCAGCGTGCCCAGCTGCCAGACTGTGGTGGGGCCGGCTTCGTATCGCCCCTGCTTGAAAAATTCTGGAGGGGCGTACGCAGAGGTTCCTATGATACAGAGGGAGACAGAAAGAAACAAAGGAGTAAATTAAAGTCACTCCAGGGATCAACAGGAGCAGGAGCAGAAGCAAGGCGTCGTACCAGAGAAGCCGGGGTAAGGTCCCTTCTTCACCAAGCAGCCACATCCAAAATCGATGATGCGCACGCGAGGGACATCAGAACCGGTCTCCAGAAGAACATTTTCTGTCTTGATGTCCCGATGGAAGACTCCCACGTTGTGCATTTTAATGGCTGCCTCTACCAGCTGTATCATGATGTTCTGAGAAATAGATAAAGACAAAGTTAGAGTGGACTGAACGAGGGACTGTTGCTGGGACGTTCCCATCACGGGACAATGTTGCAGAATTCACACACAAATGTTCCTCACAGTTCAACACATATAAAGTCAATGCTAAGACACAAGTGAATGCAAATTTGTCTGTAAAAACAATCCAGAATTATAAAACTTATTATGTTAGTAATTAGGTATTTATTAATTATTAAAGTCATTAGTTACAACTTAGGAACATAAAGGATTATTACAAAGTAATAATCAAATACATAACAAATTAGATTGTTATTGCTTTGGTTTGGACCAAATGAAAAAAGCTGATGGTGTGATAGCGACCTGAAACTCTCTGCTGAATCTAACAACATTCAAAAGTAGCAGCTTTAAGGGAACACCATACACTGACACAGAAACATGCTCCAACCAGCTTCATTACCTTAGCCTTGTCTTCCTCCAAGGGACCGTTCATGTAGTTGTAGAGGTCCACAGAGGGGACTGGTCTCTCCATGACCAGGAGAACCTCCTGGTCAAGATTGAACCAGTCCAATAAGGACACAGCTGCAGATCGTGGGGCACCTGCCGCTCTCAGCATCAGGAGCACTTCAGTGGGAACGCTGGTTTTCTTCCCATTGATGATCTAAAGGAAAGAATACAGAATAGAATTAGTGTGTGTGTGTGTGTGTGTGTGTGTGTGTGTGTGTAAATAACAAGGATGAAGTTCAACAATGACTTTAACAGTTGGTGCTGAGACATCAGATCAAATCACTAACCATTGAGCAATGCTCCACATCTGCCTTGGGGATGTGTTTTATCGCCACCTACAGGACAGAATCAGCAGTACTTTGGTTAGAGCAGGGAGTAATGGTGGTGTGTGTACGTATGATGTAAGAATATGAACGTAATACTTACTGGTAAACAATCCCTTTTTCTGATTCCAGCATAAACTGACCCGAAGCCTCCTTCTCCGAGCTTCCGAAGTTGCCGATACTCGGCGTCGAAGTCTGTAACACACACAAACACAGATTCATGTTTTACTAGATTGATGAAGAACATTCAACCAAAGCCTGCTGTGTTTAAGGCTGGACACTGAAATCAGTGGTTGTTAACCTTTAGTAAAATCTTCCTCTGTTATCTATTACAGCTGAAAATTCTTCATGTGTTTTTTTTATTATTAAAGTTTGCTTCAAATCACAAAAGGAATATTTTGACATTTTGGGAAAATAGCGCAACTTTTTCTTCTTCTTTCAAAGTTTGATATCACTCTCATGTCTGTACGGTAACATGAAGCTACAGCCAGCAGCTTAGTAGCTTAGTTTTAAGACTGGAAACAGGCAAAAACAGCTCGCCTGGCACTGTCCAAAGGTAACTAAAGCCACCTACCAGCCCCTCTAAAGCTCATAATTAACATGTTATCTTTATGTTTAATTAGTGCAAAAACCAAAGAGTAAAGAACAGGTTTTAGTTTTACTGGGGGGCTATGTGTGGACAGATACAAACAACACACACTGTTGTCTTTCACACTCAGCGTACCACTGCTGGTTCTCAGTGAGTCCAACGTGCTCCCGTTGGAGGTTGAGGGGCTGAGGGAGTTCTCCCTCCTTATCGTCCTGGGACCACCGGCCTCCTCCTCAGCCCCCACTGACACCTTGGTGGGTTCACCAGTGATGGTGTCAGTGTTTCCAGTCTTCTGCTTTCTTTTGGTCCCCCTTGGACCCTTAGCCTCCACTGGCACCTCACTGCGTTTGCAGGCCCGCTTCAGCCTTTTTCTGGGGGACTCGAGGTTTATGGAGGCCTTCCTCTTGTTCCTCGTCACCATGCAGTCCTCCCCCGGGCTGTTGTTTGGTTTGGGGGTGCTGCCATTGTTCTCTACAAAAGGGATACAACCAGTGAACATTGATTTGTTGATATTGATGGTTCTAGAAACTCTCTTTTACTTTCAACATTTCAACATTGTTTTCTAACGTTCAGTGTCAAATTTTTGACAACATTTGCACATGGCAAACTCTGGTCTCATGAAATGTGCTCTACATGCCCATCCACCATAATGACCTCAGCACCCTTACTCAAGTACAGTACTTGTACTTAAGTACAATAATTTTATACTACTTATCTTCACTTCAACTACACTTTTTACTCCAATGCATTTATTTAACAGCTACGGTTCCTAGGTACATGCAGGTTATGATGGTACATATTAGGTTGTTTAGGAGTGTATCAAATAATTAATATTAGCTTCATCTCAACCAGCTGTGACATGAAAAGCAGCTTCAGCTGTGGAGCTGATTTCGCACTCACCTGAATCGTTCTTCTTCATTGTTTTAGCGACCATGATGCTTTGTAAGCACGCTCAATACCAACGAGAAAATAAGTTACTGTGAATGACCAGAACTTGTGTTTAACTCTGCCAATATGTTCAGTGTGAGTGAATATGTATGTGTACTGTTCTGAGAATCATGAGTTCCATTCTTTTACATCATAAATAGAATACTGGCTTTGATGACCAGGGTTCCATTCTGTGACATTACCAATAGAATACAGACTGAAATAACCATGCCGACAAAGAAACTGACTATTTTATGTATTTTAAAACAAACGTTTTAGGCAAAGGGAGAGTCAAGATGAATCAATGTTTTGACTTCCACCAAAGACAAAGCACCATTGTCATTTCATATAGTGAATGATTATTATTATTATTATTATTTACATTATTATTATTATTATCATCATCATCTTCAACTTATTTTACGACGTGTTGTGTTAATAGGATCGACTAATTGAAGATTAGAGATAGAGACTAAGATAATACCTATACAGAAAAACTCCAATGTAACTGTTACAGCCCTTGTCGTATTATTGTTTTTATATTGTCTCTTCTGTGGTGTGCACTGTGTTTTGTCCCTGTTTTCTACAGGAGTGTGCGGCCTGTCTCGGTAGGGATCTTTGAAGGCTCCTTTCTGACTAATTACATGGGCTTGGCTGGGGGAGTGTCCGCTGCTGATTTTGATTTTGGTGGGTTTAAATGATTCTAAAATGTATTGTGTGTGTGAAGCTAATGCTCAAATACGATAACTCCGTTTAATCACGTTTTACATGCATTTAAGTCTTTTTATTGTGCAGTATTTACCAATTTTATAAGATCATGACTTTATATGTATAATTTATTCAAATTCAGAGTTGTGACATGTGCAGCAAACATGTAGCCTAAACTGCTGAATTTTGTAGACTATTGGGATGAGTGAGCGAAACGTCTAGATTTTAATATTAAACTTGATCGACGGCAAATACAGATAGTGTAGCATGAATGAATCTACACTCTGCCACAGCTGACAAAGTTCTCCACACCGCTAGGAGCGTGTAAACTCATACCTCAGACGGATTCATTTATAGGCTGGATGTAATTACACACATTAAAAACAACTATGACACAAGACTGGTAACATGAGGATTTTGGATGTTTTATTGACGTTTTCAGTGTTTTGTCACATACATTGCCATTCCCTATAGTCCTCACTTTATACTCTTACAGATTTGAGAACCTACTGGTTCCAGAGGCATACATAAATATTCATTATGGAGACATTTTTGTAAAGGTTTTTTTTTTTTTTCACACCAGAAACTATGAGCATTGAGCTCATCATCACAACCAGTCTCACGCAGGATAATATCACCTGTTAATCCAACTCGAGCGTCCTCCGTTAATGTTGCTTTAATGTTGTGGTTGCCTTTATAAACAATTTCATTTTGGTGTGTTTAAATTATTTAAAATAGTTAATGTTTCTAAGATGTATTGTAAAGCTATTGTTTGATTACAATATACGATATCCAAAAATGTCTTTCTTCGATGTAACATTATACTCGGGAAGGACTCAGAACCGAAACAACGGTAGCGATCAGCAGTTGTTAATGTCACCATGACAGTGAATAGTAGTTCCGTAGTGAGGAGCAGACACCAACATTATTGTTCCAGCAAAGTGTTTCTTTTGCAGTGTGTTGCAAGTCACCAACAAATGAATGTCATAGAAGTAGTCAGAATCTTTATTTCCTGGTTCGGCAATAAGGGGTCCTAAAAAGCCATGCCTATGCACATCTGCCTCAGTATCAGCAGTTAATTCAACGCCAGTTAAACTGTCACACCGGCCACAAAACACACAACAGTAACTTTTACCGAGTCATCCTCCTGCACTGAGATACTGGCAGCGGGGGTAAAATTGCTTGGTGATTCACGGCATAAACGTTGTGTGAATCTCTATAAAAAATATAAGCAGGGAAGGATATGGTTATAACCATAAGTAACCTTATAAGTTTGAAGTGCATCTTGCACGCATTTAACAAAAATTTAACGTTAACAAACAGAATAACTGTTACGTTAGCGTCACTGCAACAGGTTTTGGGACAGTCCAGAATTGTAGGCTACTGACCAAGGTTCAGAAAACAGTCCATCACGAAGTGGCTCGAATACACATATATTTTTTTGCTGACATTTCCATCAAATATAAAATGTATCCACTGGACTCCACTAAATCCTCTGAGGCTAGGACTCTATGTAGAGCTTTGTGCTGGGCTGTGCAGCCAAGAACAGAACAGTTAGCATACTTTTGCTCAGACATAATGCCCTCTTCCGCTCCTCTGCTCCTTAGCCTGCACTCTCGCCTTTTTATCGGGACAATGGCGAAGTGCTGCTAGGCAAAACCTGCGGTGAAAGTTCGCAATCAGGGACTGTGACACCACACTCCCTGCGAAGTCAGCATTGACTGCTTTTTCTCCGGTATTTTGACTGAGGCACCCCACAAAAAATGACTGAGTCATCTGTTTTCACACTTTGAGTCCCAAATGTACATAATCGATTAAAAAGTTGGTTTTATATAATATGTCCCCTTAAACATTTTAGGCCTTTTCAGATCACAGTCTAAAATGTTTCCAAACTCACTTCATAATTACAATGTTCATACAGTTCTAAAAAGTAATGTTTCATGTGTTGGACTTCTTCAAAATAAATTGAGTTGCGTTCAGTTATTATAAGTACATCTATTATGATCCATCTGTTTGGCAAATGTATTGTCATTCTGTTGTGACAGCTGTAACTTAAACAAGATCATGGACTTAGTGCATTTAAATGATATAATCTGGGTTTATTTTTTTTTCTGACAGCAACAAAGGTTGACATAGAATTCGCAGAAAAATAAGGCAACAGAAGACCACTTTGAAGGCCATGGTAGAAGAGTACAGAGTCCTTTTTCATTTTCATTCTAGAGCGCCTTAGAGGGTGGCAGCTCGACGCAACAGCTCCCCCTCCCCATGTTATTTCGCATTAAATCTTACTTTTTTCTTTATTCCTTCTTAAATAGCACTGTGTTTATTGATGTAAATAGACCGACAGTGTTGGTAGTTAGTTTTTTTTACTTTTTCTTAGCCTTAGTTGAACTTAGTTTTTAAACATAAACAATGTATAGGAATGTGGACACGATGACCACACAACAAAGCGCCGGAGGTTACTCACGTGAGGACCTCCTACGGTATCAGGATTTACGTGTCGCATGTCCAAGGGAGATCGCGGTAAAAAAAAAAAAAAAAAAATGGTGAGAAAAAAAAAAAAAAAGAGAGAGGGAGGAAAAATTTTTTTTTTGAGGGGGATTTGTTTAAAATTACACAAAATTTTTAATTGGAATACAGTTTTTATTGGGACCCCTGAAGAAAACGAGAAAGTCAGGAGGAGGGCTTGCTGTCTTTGTGAACTCTAAATGGTGTAACCCTGGACATGTTGTCGAGAAGGCAGAAATCTGCACGCCTGACATTGAACTGCTGGCCATAGGGTTAAGGCCATACTATCTACCCGGTGAGTTTTTGGCCACCATTGTCATCATTGTTTACATTCCTCCGTCGGCAGTAGTAGCACACACCTGTGACGTCACCAATTTTTTTAAAAGATTTAACCACCAAAATCTCATAGACCCTGACAAACTTTACCCAGTACGTCACCTGTAACACAAGATCTTGGATCTGCTGTATGCCAATGCAAAGGAGGCATACAGCGCCACTGCCCTTCCCCCTCTCGGCAAATCTGACCACTCCCTGATACATCTTAACCCTACATACAGGCCTGATGTTAGGAGGAGACAGTCCATCACCACCAGGACTGTGCAGCAGTGGTCGGTGGAGGCAGAGGAGGCCTTGATGGAGTGTTACAGGACAACCAACAGGGAAGTGTTCCAGGAAGACTACGGAGACGACATCGAGGGTCTCACTCAGTGTGTCACAGACTACATCAGGTTCTGTGAGGACAGTGTTATCCCCACCAAGAGAATTTGCTGTTTCCCTAACAACAAGCCATGGATTAACAGGGACATCAAAGCCCTGTTGAACAGAAAGAAGATGGTTTTCATGGCAGGAGATGAGGATGCCAAGAAAGACATTCAGAGGGAGCTGAGTAGGGCCAAAGACTGTTACAAGAACAAGATGAGGGGAAGCTGCAACAGACTAGCACAAGAGGGGGGGGGGGGGGATGAGGAGCATTACTGGCATGAAAAGGTCAGTAGGTTCAGTAGAAGGGACAAAGGGACTTGCCAATGAGCTAAACCTGTTCTTCAATAGGTTTGACTCACAAACCCCCTCCACCACCTCTGGAGTGTGCCATCTACAGAAGTTCTCTGATGACTCCTCTATTGTCGGATGTATCACAGATGATAGGGAGGAGGAGTACAGAGACCTGATTGAGAACTTCATTGGATGGTGCGACAGAAACCACCTACAGCCCAACACTGGAAAAACCAAAGAGCTGGTGGTGGACTTCCGGTGGAGCAAGAGGACCCCCTCCCCAGTTGTGATTAGGTTCCTGGGTGTGACACTTAAGAACAAACTGGACTGGATGGATCACACTGAGGCCCTATACAAGAAAGGACAGAGCAGACTGTTCTTTCTGAGGAGGCTCAGGTCACGTGTGTGTAACCCACATAACAGAGTGAGTTCCAGAATGAGAGAAAAAAAAGAGAACTAGAGACTATTGTCAATTTATTTTCACTCAGAGTAATGAGTATCACCTAAATAAGAGGATCTTTGATATCTGTGAAGAGATTGACAAGCCAGTGTTGACCAATCAGTGACTTGGATGCAGAGAGTTCCCGCCCCTTGCTCCTGTCTTGTGAGTGCGCGTCTGTATGAAGAGAGGAGCAAGAGTGAGCGGCCGAGATTGAGAAGAGAGACGAAAAATTGGATGGCAAAAACTGAAGAAAACCCTAAAACATACGGTTTACACTTTGTTTACGAAGTCCGTTTGTTGTTTAATGAAGTACTAGTGAAAAAACTAGTGTTAAAACGGGCATTAGCACAGTCGCT